GCGATCGCCTTCGTCACCAGCACATCCCGCTGATCTCGCCTCCGAACCAGGACATAGTCCAGTAGGTGCCACTGACGCGACCGAGGATGCCTCCAGGTGGCCTTCTCTCGCTCCGGCAGACAGAAGAACGTGTTCGTCAGGATGAGGCGGTGTTCTGCGCAGGTGCGGTGGAGAAGCAGGCCGTTGTCGTTGGAGCCGCGGAGACCGTGGGGACCCAGCACTCCCCTCCAGGCAGTATGATCTGTGCCGACGCGAGCGTTGAAGTCGCCAAGGACAATCAACTTGTCCGCCTTCGACACAGTCGCCAAGAGGGCGTGCAGGTCCTCGTAGAACTTGTCTCTTGCGGCGGCGACGGGGCTGCTCATCGGCGGAGCGTAGGCGCTGATGATGGTGGCAAACTTGCCTCCTCGCCGGAGGGGCAGACGGAGGCTCATCAGGCGGTCGTTGATTCCCTGCGGTACACTTGGCAGTCGTCCCACGATGTCGGTCCGGATGGCGAAGGCCACGCCCGCGTCTCGTCGCTCTGCCCTGGGTCGACCACTCCAGAAGAAGGTGTAGCCGGCACCCACCTCCTCCAGTTGGCCTTGTTCGGAGAATCGGGTCTCGCTGAGTGCGGCGATGTCCACCTTGTAGCGCGCCAGTTCTCGTACCACTAGCGCCGTCCTCCGTTCCGGTCGGTTGCTCCTCGGATTGTCTAAAAGGGAACGAACATTCCAGGCTGCCAGAGTGAGCGGGCTCACCCTGTCAGTCTGGGGAACACGACTGGGGCGACGGGAATGATGTGGAGAAGATGACGAAGGGGAAGAATAGGCAGAAGAATAGACGGAGATAGAGGTAGAAGAGGTAGGATTATGAGAAGTAGTATGGTTGTTGTTGTTATTGGTATTGTTGTTTTTTCGGTTTTGAGTGTTTCGACCATTTTAGACGTCTGCGGCCCTGGCTAGCCTGGAGACGGCGTGGTGCCCAGCAATGCTTAGGCCACCTTTTCTAGGCCCTCCCCCGTAATGGGGACAGGCAGTGCCCCCCGAATCGGGCTGCCTGTGTGCCTCTTTGGCGCGACCGTAGCCCACTATGGGACCACGACTTTATGTTTGTAGTGGAGAACGACCGCATATGCCGAGGTCTGGGGTCTCCGTCGGCGTAGGTGGGCGCGTCTCAGCGAAGGCGATGCGGAGACCCATCCCGGCAGCAGCTGTCCAACGGCGTACCAGGCAGAGCCTCGTCTCGACGACGCCGGCGCAACGTTTTATCCGACCAAACGTCCAGCGGAGCCCGCAGTACACTGTGCACGCGGCACAAGCGCACAGCGCCCTCACCTGGTTTAGCCCGCCGTTCGAGGCGGTTGCCCGGGGTGTGGCCGCTGAGCAGAGCCCAGCTACGTGGAGCCACAGGTGAGAGTTGGGTGCCAGCAAGTGGACGCTAGGCGTAGTCTCACCTGCAAGCAAGTGAGCGACCACTACGACCTTCACGTGAACCCACCGCTGGACACCCCTACACCCCACACACACACACACACACACACACACGCACACACACACACGCACACACACACGACAGTTCGTCCGTCGATTTCGACGATGACCACCGTGTGCCCCACAGACTGCATTGTGGGAGCAGGGACGGTGACTTACGCAGGGGTTTATAGTGCCAGTAGACTTTCGTAGCATCTACCTACACTCTCTCCTCCTCCCCCGCCTGGGCCCGGTGTCAAGACAGAGTCAAGAAGACCGGAGACGGGGGAGGCCGCAGGTGGATGGCTCGGACGGATCTTCGCCTTGGCGCTCCACTCCGCACCCCTGGTCCACACACCAATGACCAGGATTTTGACCACAAAACAATGGGGTGGAGGCAGTGGTCCAGTTGTGCGACGAATGCCGACAACAGGGTCCGCCAGCGCACACCGAAAATGTTGGCATTTGTTATTGCGCACAGACAACGCCTGCCAGAGTCCGATGTGGCCCCCGTGTTGGTCCAGCGCATCTAACACGCGGCCCGTTTTGAGGGCACACACACACACACAATATTTCGACCATCGATTTCGTTTATGTCCACCGTGTGCCCCACAGCTGAAGCAGCGGTGGGAGTAGGGACGGTGACTTGCGCAGGAGTTTATAGTGCCAGCAGACTTGCGCTGCATCTATCTACACTCTCTCCTCCTCCATCGCCTGAGCCTTGACGGGCGATGAAGTAATTGTCGGGCTGGGCATGTTGGGTGTTTTGGATGTAGTGGGTGTGTCGGGATTGCGGTTAATTCCGCTCTCGTGGATGCGTGTGCGGCCAAATAGGCCCACGCGATGCGTGAATGTGCTAGGGCTGTGTGGACAGTTGAGTCGAGTAGGTATATGTTGGTGCTCCAGGCACTGGTTCGCCAGTCTCTGTGCGATGGTTTCGCAAGTGACCGACCAGGCCAATGCGTGAGGTGAATGTGCGTGGACAGTGTGGGCATGAGAAGTCGGCGGTGTCGGTGTCAGCTACAGAAGAGACGGTGGTGTTGTTGGTGTCGGTGGTGGTAATGGTGTGTTTGATGTTGTGCGTGTCTAGATACTGCCGTCAATTCCGCTCTCGTGAATGCGCATTTGGCCAAATAGGCCCATGCGATGCGTGAATGTGCGAGGAAAATTCATGCAGTGGAGGGGAGTGTGTTGGGTGTAGGTTGGTGCTCCAGACACTGGTTCGACACTCTCTCTGCGATGGATTCGCAAGTGACCGACCAGGCCGATACGAGAGCTGACTGTGCGGTCGCAGTGAGCGCATGATTAGTCTGAGGTGTCCGTGTGGACGACGGCTACGTAGGAGGTGGTGGTCGTGTTGGGGATAGACAGATTGGGTGTGGCTGGTGAGTATGAGGGGCGGACAAATCCGCTCTCGTGGAGGAGGAGGAGGAGGAGGAGGAAGAGGAAGACGAGGCGGAGGAGGAGGAGGAGGAGGAGGAGGAGGAGGAGGAGGAGGCGGAGGATAAGGTTTTGGATGAGGATGAGGATGATGATGATGATGATGATGATGATGATGATGATGATGATGATGATGATGATGATGATGATGATGATGATGATGATGATGATGATGATGATGATGATGATGATGATGATGATGATGATGATGATGATGAATAGTAGGTAGAGGAGGAGCGGAACGGAAATTTGAGGTAGATGCGTAGGAGGAGGTGTAGATAGATGATGAGGAGGTAGACTAGTTGAAATAGATTTTGAGGGAAGATAAGAGTAGTGAGAGGAGTAGGAGGAGGTCGAGGAGTGGATGGAGTAGCAATAGGAGGTGGATAAGTGAAGGAGTAATAAGTGGAGGAGGAGGAGGAGGAGGAGGAGGACGACGATGAAGTGTACGTAGATGAGTAGGACATGGAAGAGGATTAATAGGAGGATAGGAGGTGAAGAGGAGGAGGAGGAGGTGGAGGAGGAGGATTAGTAGGAGGATGATGAGATATAGATTTTAGAGGAGGAGTATTAGCAGCAAAATGAGGTAGGGGATACACATGTGGAGAAGTAGGTGGAGGTAGATGAGGATGGATATGAGGAAGAGGAGGAGGAGGGAGAGGAGTAGGAGGAGGAGGAGAATTGTGATGAGGAGGAGGAGGAGGGGGAGGAGTAGGAAGAGGAGGAGGGGGAGGAAGTTGAGGTAGAAGATTTGAATCAAGAGGACTGCAATTAACAGTTCTCGCAATCAGCGCTGGGGTAGTAATTGATGCGGTGGTGGCTTGTCGGTCCGAGTCCGAGTCAGTCAGCTCATCAACGAAATTCTTGGAGTAAATTAATGGAGTACGTCTCCTGCCAAGCGATTTCATAGTTTCCTTTGATGTCACGTGCGTTTTTACTTCTATCCCCCAGGACATGGCAGTTGAGATCATCGAAGTACGCCTACGAGAGAAATACGACGAAACGGAGAATGGCCTCGGACATGCCCAAATCATCCAGCACCTGAAGTTCTGTCTCAAGACCTACTTTAATTCCGACGGAACCATCTACGAGCAGGTGAAGGCAACGCCAATGAGATCGCCGATTTCGGGACTCATAGTCGAGGCGGTGCTACAACGGCTGGGGTCGCTGGTTTTCCGACACCACAGACCGCAATTCAGTGCACGGTATGTGGATGACACTTTCGTCGTCATCGAACGGGATCAGTGCTGATAATCAAAAAGCAAATCAACACCGTCTTCCCGGACATTCAATTTACGATGGAGGAAAACGAAAACAACCAGCTGCCCTTCCTGGATGTCCTCATCTTTCGCAAAGATTGTGGTGGCCTAAAATCCGAAGTGTTCAGGAAAGCGACAAATACGACGCAAATACTGAACTTCAATAGCAACCACCCGATCAGTCACAAACGCAGTTCCGTAAGGGCGTTATACCGGTGCTTGTAGACGTATTACAGTGAAATGGAAGGTAAGGTTGCTGAATTACAACATCTTCGACGGGTAATGAGAGCCAATGGCTACCCGCGCAACTTTGTCGACCAGTGCATACGAAAAGGACACCAGAGACCAAATCCAACCGGCCCCAAATTTTGGCGGGCTCCTCCGTACGTGAAGAACGTCTCGGAGGCCGTCAGTCGTCTTCTCACTCCACTTGGAGTTGGGGTTGCACACAGGCCGGAAGCAACCATTAGGCGCCAAGTCATGAGGCCAAAAGACCCGCTGCCACGGCAGGAAACGTCTGGAGTCGTTTACCGGATCTGGTGTAGTTGCGGACAAAGCAACTATGTCGGAGAAACTGGGAGATTACTTTGAACGGGAATTGCCGAGCACGCAGCAGCAGTGAGGCGGGGAGACGTTAACTCTCAGGTGGCGGTACACTCGACGGGACCCGGCCATATTTTCAAATTTCAAGAGGCCGAAAGCCTCGCAAGGGATGACAAACGCGTGAGCCGCGAGCTGCTCGAGTCATTGTTCTCAGGCCCGCAATCCATCAACAAACACAATGACCACCCGGTATCCTATTCCGTACTGCAATTTTCCCTGGGCGGGAGAATCAGTCACGTGGGGAGGGCGCGGGCAAGCAATTATCACGGTGACAGTGGGCCAGTTTGCCGAGCAATCGTCACACCAGTATCCAGCACGGATGACGAAATCGCGGCCATTAACGACTCGGACGCGGACCGACAAGCCAACACCGCATCAATTACGACCCCAGCGGTGATTGCGAGAACTGTTAATTGCAGTGCGCATACGGTCCCACGGCAGCCACGTGCTAAACATACTGCAATTCTGGTGCCACCATCACATTTATCTGCGAATGTCTCTGAAGATGGATTCGAGTGAGAATCCGAAACGTCAGGCAAATAAAGTTCTTGTTCCAGTGATCGCATCTTCATAATCGGAAGACAAATTATATGAGGAGTAGTAGGATAAGGAGGAGGAGGAGGAGGAGTAGCAGGAGGACGAGTAGTAAGAGGAATGGGAGGTTTGGGAGAATGAGGACGAGGAATTGGAGTAGGAGGAGGAAGATTAGGTTGAGACGGATGATGATGATGAG